AGGGCTGAGGTCTGTTTTCAAGCTGGCCATGCCCCCCAGAGACCCAGGCCCTCAGCCCCTCCCTGAGCACTGGCCAGGAGACCCAAGCCCACAGCCACTCCTTCAGCTACAGACAGGACTAGTGGGAAGCTTGGCTTCCTCCATCACCGGGGTCACCCAAGCCTCCAGCTCCATGGCTGCCACCATCTTTGTTGTGTTAATTTGCATACTCACCCTGATTGGCTGGTGAGCATAGTGGAGGGATGGTCAATTTGCATGTTTCCCTTTTATTTGTGTGTGTGTGTGTATTTAGCATTTCATTCATTTGTAAATTTTTAAGCATAGGGAGTTGTTTGTTTTTTTCTCCAGAAAGTATCTCAAATTGTTCAAACTCAAGTTATTGAATGTTTTATAATTTATTGTCTGATAACACTCTTAAGTAGCATTACTGCTTTTCTACAATATGTCAAGTCATAGTATGATAAACAATAAGGAATATAGAATCTGGTTGGGGACAGCTCCTGTGTTGAGTGTCTTCCCCCAGAGAGGGAGGTGACCGGCGATGGGGGAGCAGGGCTGAACAGCGAGTGGCGCCAGGCCACCAGCAAAGGTGGGTGCCAGCAGGGGTCCTCCCGGATGGCCCAGCCTGCCAGTCACCCCACAGATCAGCCCTGATCACTGGCCAGGCCTAGAGTCCCTACTCTATATATTGGGAACAGTCTCTTAGATGTAAAAATTAAAACCTGGCAAGGCCACTCTAACACTGAAAAAACAGGATGATGCAGCGATGACATGCATGGACTCTGACTTAACATTTTGTGGTCAGCCCTGATTCTGACACTTATAACTGTGTGACAAAGCCAATTACTTAACTTCTCTCTGCTTCAGTTTTTACACACATAAGATGGGGAAAATGGTACTACTGCCTCAGAAGGATCATGTTATGTACTATTTTTTATAATCAGGGCAAAAATATGTAGCTGCCCATACAAAGGCAAGATGCCTTTCACCTGTATGAAAAGTATGGTCACTGATGCATGCAGCATCCCAGATTGTGAAAGAGATGTCTGACTGCAGGTTTAGGCCTGATCCCTAGGGCCTAATACAGCGGTATTACATCCCCTGAGGGCACAGACAGAGCTGAGGGACAGCCCCCCCCCCCCGCCCCATGCACAAATTTCATGCACTGGGACTCTAGTTGTAAATAACACTGCAGTGAACACAGGGGTGAATTTATTATTTCAAAGTAGTGTTTTAGATTTCTTCAGAAACTGGAGAGTATCATGTTAAATGAAATAAGCCAGTCAGAGAAAGACAAATACCATATGATTTCACTTATATATGGAATCTAATAAATAAAATAAACTAAAAAGCAAAATAGAAACAAACTCATAGATACAGAGAATACACTGACAGCTGCCAGAGGGTGTGGGACTCTTTCTGGGTGAAAAAAGGTGACAGAATTAAGAAAAAAAAAAACACATAGACAACAGTATGGTGATTACCAGAAAGAAAGGGTAGTGGGGGAAATAGGACAGGTTAAAGGAGGGTAAATGGTGATGAAAGGAACTTGACTTAGAGTGGTGAACAGACAGTACAATATACAGATGATGTATTATAGAATTGGACCCCTGAAACATGTAATTTTATTAACCAAGGTCACCCCAAACAAATTCAATTTTAAAAATGTAAAAAACAAAAAGAAAATCCTGCCATTTGTAACAACATAGATATATATGGAAAGCATGTTTCATATTTGAATAGAAAATTATTCTATTAACTAGAGGCTGGGTGCACGGATTTGTGCCCTGGTGGGGTCCCTTGGCCTGGCCGGTGGGGACCAGTGGACCTCCACGCTGCCACAGTCCAGCCTTACCCGCCAGCTTGTCTGGCTCCAGCCTGCTATCCAGTAGATCACACACAGCATGAAGTAGTGCACGAAGCAGCAGGCAGCCAGAGGAGTCTGCGCCCAGGCTGGGTGCTGTGCCACTCTCACTCATCCTGGCCCCACTGTGCCCCCCGCCTGCCACCACCGCTGCTCGGGTGTGCAGGGGGAGTGTCCACTGGAGAGGCTTGTGCCACAGCAGCTGCCCTTGCCAGCCGTCAGCCCAGTGTCTGGTGCCCGTGTGTCAGCTGAGCGGCACTCCTGCTGTGGGAGCACACTGACCACCAAGGGGAAGCTCCTGCATTGAGCATCTGCCCCCTGGTGCACGTCATAGCTACCGGTTGGTTCTCTGGTCATCCAGTCACTTAGCCTTTTATATATATAGATATTTAATATTATTTGTTTGGGTCAAAATCTATCACTTACTATTTTTTTTTCTATTTGTAACTTCAAATATACATTATTTTTAAACCTTGTTTAAGATTAAATATATATTTTTTATTTTTCCACTTCCCCCCATTCAAGGTTATTAATTCAATATGCCTTAACCATACTTTCAATATTGAGGGAAATACTTAGTTCAGTCTATGATTGTCTAACCACTATGTCGTACACCTAAAACTAATACAAAAATAATGTTGAATATAAACTTTAATTGAAAAATAAAATTAAAAACAGAGTCAGAGAAATAGCTATGTTGTTTTGGAAATGATGGTGACAGGTACAATATAGTTAAAAATTTGATAATTTCTCAGAATAATTAGTGATGAATACCATTAAATTCTTATTGACAATTGATTGGAATTTTTAGAAAATTTTCTATGATAATACAAATGAAATAATAAGGATATAAGAAAAAGAAGTATTTAATGCCAAGATTTAGCAACCTTGTTCAAAAATTAAATTTAAGGTATCTAACAGACATACGTTTTCAGTGTTTGTGACTGAAATGGAAACAAATGAACTGCAATGGGTGGTTAAACCTCTGTGACCTCCATATTTGTGGAATATGACGACAATTTCTCAGAGGCATTTGAAAATGAGTACTCTAAATGACACACTTAGAGGTGTGATTGTACTTTCAATCTCCAAAGTCTCATATTTTGGAGATGTGTGATGTGATAAACTGATTTCAAAATAGCCAAAGTGTGAGAATTACCTTTTCAAACCTTAAGTGACATATTGAAAAGATGTTTGCTTTTTCCACTATTGCTTCACTCTGAGCCTTTAAAGGGCAATCTGTGAAGATCACAGATATTGTTTATTTTGGTCCTGAATTTATGTTTTTAAATTCTCCTTTCATTACCCAGCTATAACGGGGCTCTTTTGTGATAGTCACCTTGCCTCCCCACTAAAAGATGCGCGACTTTCTGGCCTACAGAAGGTATGTGCCCCTACTCTCCTGTCTCTCTGCCAGCCCATCTCATACAGTGGGAGAAAACAGAGGCTAGCTGTGAGGGACAACTAATATACAACAAAATCAAAGTGGAATATTAGTGTTTTTATTTGAATAATTCAGGGTAAGAAGCAACCATAAAATATGAAATATGTTGAAATATTTAAGTGTTCAAATTAGTGTCTGTAGGAAATTAATAAAGTGCATACACACATGCATAATTGGGTTTATAAATCAGAATAATTTAAAGTGAAACCTATAAACATGAGAAGGAATAATTAGTTTGGGATTTTGTAATCATTACAAGGAGATTTTTTTTGGGGCATAATAATATATTAATTTATATTTTGCCCAAGCTTTTAAATAGATACTTAAAAAAGAGTTCATTGCATGTTGCAGGCCAGACACAATTCCTTATACACTTATTGAGACTGATTAAAAGCAGCTTGATTTTTACTAAAAATCAGGATGAAGTAGCTTCTGTAAAAATGCTAAACAAAACTTAATTATAAACAGTCAAAATACTTTTTAAAAATTTGAACAAACAGTGCAATAAAGATCAGCCATACTGATTAAAGAGGATCTGCTTACTGAATTATTTTACAGTGTATAATAAAATGAAGTATAAAAAATACCTTGGAAATTGTGACTAAAATAATACGTAAGATAATTAACATTTATTGAGAGTTTATGTGTCAGGTGGAGTGCTAAATTTTACGTGCAACATATCTTACATTTTATTTCATTTTTTATTAGTAAAGTAGGTTACTTGTCAGTAGGTAAATTTTTAAAGGTCACACATTGTAAGTATCATAGACAGAATGAATTCCTGTCTCTCTGTCTATAGAGCCCATTGACTGGATTATTAAATTACATTATCCAGATTGTTTACACAACTAAAGTGACTTTCACTGACATTGACGACCAAAGGGTCCTCCTGAAAGTTTGAATCAACAACGTGATTCCATCAAGGACCTATACCTGATCATCTTATGGGTTTATATCCTGCCCATTAAATCAATTATCAATTATTTTTTTAAAAAATAATTATTTAAAATATTTTACTTGTTGTTTATTTTTATTATTTTTTAGGTTATAGGTAAGTTTAGTGTGTCATGTAACTTTTTTTCAACATATAACATATTTCTTTAAATTTTTACTTATTTCTTAGAACTCATCAACCATTCAAATTAAAGACATTTGGTAACCACTTCAATAAATAAATGCAAGTCACTAAATAAATATAATTCAGTGCAGGAAATTAATATATATATATGCCAACATTACTATTTTCCACCCTTAGGGCACTTGGTCTTTACTATGGGATTTCAAATTTTTCATAAATATTGTGTCTCTTTTTCCTACTAAAACATTGAATTTCTATGACAGGCATTCTAATGGTGTCAAAATACTTCTGTGGATTTTGACTTTAAATTAATGAGGATGGTATTATTCATGCATGTCTATATTCCTCACTAATTATGTTTTTATTGCTCCAACAAATAACATATTGACAAAGGTTGAGAATATATTTTAAAGAGTACTTTACCATGAGACCCTTGTTTAAACCTCTAGGGAATTTAGAACCAGAACTTTAGATTCTTCAACTTAGAAGTGAGCCCTATACTCAACCTCTACCCCGCCCAGTTTCCCTGTAAGGGAGCTCTGCATTACAGGCACCAGTTATTCATACACACACTTAACTTAGAGCACAGTTTCAAACACCACCCAGCTGCGGAGATGAATAACCAAAGAGTAACCTATGCAGAACTGAATTTGGCCAAGTTGGCCAAGGGACATGAAAGGAAGCCTAAGGTCACTCAAAGCTCCATTCCAGTAACGGAGCAGGAAATAACCTATGCAGAATTAGCTCTACAAAATGCTTCCCAGGATCTTCAAGAGAGGGACAAGAAGGACCACTGCAAAGGTAACACATTCAGTATAACTGTTCTAGGATGTGAAGTTGGGGTGCAAAGTTGTGGGGAAGAGTAGGAAATTGACTCACATATTTTTCATTTGTGAGAATCATGGCTTAAAGTTGTAATACAGTATTCTAAGATGAAAGCTGAGGATGGATTCTATTCAGGTATTGCTGTAAGGTGTAATTTTTGGCCAACAATCATGGAGCATTGTATCTCCTGAAAATGCAATGGTATATTCTGAGAGGAAGATTACAGTGGTAAGTATGGGTCTAGGATCCAAGTTTATGTATTTGATTCTCTGTATGTAAACTGTCTAAAACAATTGTCTCTCTCTCTGTCCTTTCTCAGTGTTTCAATTTCTCTCCTTGCAGTTTCACCATCACCGCCAGAGAGGCTCATTGCTGGGATCCTAGGGGTCATCTGCCTTGTCCTAGTGTCCGCTGTGATAAGGATAACTGTTATTCCCCGTAAGTAAATCTTTGTAAGATTATACAGCACTTTTCACTTTAATGATTACCAGTGCTTCTAAACAATTCATAATATTATGGAATAGAATTTTCATATTAAAGCATGCATTTAGAATAAATGTGGAATGGTTATTCTGAATTTAGCAAATGCATAAATAACATAATGTTTGTAAAGAGTATGTTACATATAGTCATATATTTGATTTCATATCTCAAAGACATGCTTTAGGAGAATGAAAGACCTTATGAAGAAATACAAATTCATATTGAGATTGGTTAAACCCATACTGTAAGAGATGGTGAAGTTTGGTTCTTTAGGCTTTTAAAATATTTTCCTCTAACTCTTTATGACTGTATTAATATTTCTTGGTAAAATCAATTTTATTACAGATAATTCTCCTCCGACACAACACAACAAACTTCAAATTAAAAAACAAAAATTATTATGATTTCTTTAGATTAATTGATATTTTAAAAATTACTTTAATTTTTTAATTTTTTTAGCTACTGTAATACTGGAGAAGAATAATTATTCCCAACCAACAAGGAACCAGAAAGGTACATAAGAATTTTCAAAGTTCTGATATTAACAAAGTTTATATTTTGTCTCTATCTTAGGCTAGGCAATAGTGATAATAGACTCTTATGGGAGAACATAACTTATAAAATGAGTAATACATGTTCATAAATAATTATTATAAGAGAGTGTTCCTTCTTCTGCAACATTATGAAAAATCATCCATTTTAAATTGCCACATCCATTGTTGCTTTTTGGATTAAATTTCCTACTGCTATAATATAATAAGAGACCAGTGATTTTACTGTTCTGAAAAAGTAGTTTCAGTCATCGGCTCTTAGTACATGTATAGAGTGGATAATTTGTTTATGTGTTTGCTTTATATGGGCACAGAAATTAGGGGATATCTGGCAGACCCTTT